CCAATTACAGCAGATGGACCAGGTCGGGTTCTAGCATTCATGTCCCTATGGTTGTAACTTTCTTCATTTGCAGTAGAGATGATGAACCACCAAATTCATATTCCAAGAAGAGAAGAGATCTTTAATGATGGCCAGAACCAGAGGACTCTGAAACAAAGACATGATTTAGGCTGTTCAAACAGTAAAGGAAATCAATTCAGGAATGTAGTGCAGGTCCTAGAACTGACATCTGTACTTATATCTGAGCACGAGAATTGGCTATTTAAATGAAACAATACCCTCAGAACGTGTACTAAGTAAACACAGCAATTATTAAAAATTCTCTTTTGCAAGTTTTAAAGCCCTATTACAGTCAAATACCCATCCTTCCTTGGTTTTGTTATGGTTCTTCCAGAACTCAAGTTTATTCTATTATTCTAAGTCTATTAGGCAGTATTTTCTCTAATTGCATGTTGCAAAATATAAATAATGTTTGCATGTACAAATTCAACTGGAAGTGAATGGTTTCTCTCTCATGGTCCAGAAAGTGAAGAGCAGAGATTCAGCAAGCCATAAAAATATAATTTCCAGTGTGATGTCAGAAGAAACTGTCCATAAATATCTAAACACTACTTTATACATATACAAATTCAAAACACGAAGTTTATACTTTCTAATTTCTTGACAGCTAAAATAGCAGGTACTCTTGAAATCATGCTGGTTTAAATAATCCCATTAAATGGCTGGTGCTATTATTTGAAAAAATTCCTCGCCCACACAGTCAAGTTACAGAGTTTCCATTTTTCTCCTAAAACCTACACAAAAGATTATTTATGTGCAGATCCACAGATGTTTCTAGGTTATGAAATTATCTATACAATCAAAATTACTTATTTTAAAGCAGTCTTTAAACATTAGCTAAATCTGTAACATAAGCCCCAAATTTATCTAATGTACAATATTCTGAACTGATTTTTACTGCACTTATTTAAAAATTACATCAAGGTATTAAATATTGAATACTTACTATTTCCTGATGATTTTTTGCCTGGGGAAAAAAAAAATAAGCTGAACAATGACAGTTAAAAATATATTTCCTATTTACTTTTTACAGATAAATTTTAATTAGCTTATTATTAGCTTAAACAAAAATTGCAAGTGTACAACAGGTACTTTCCATGGTATGTTTTTGTAAACTTTACACTGATTTTCAAAAGTTGTTTGGTTTTAATTAACTAAGGCTCCATGCATTTACTAATTTACTCCCTCAAGATTGCTACTATAATTCTAAAGAAATCTTTACGGAATATTACTATTTTACGTAATATATGGATATATATATACACACACACAAGATATGGATGTCAAAACAGTTGTTTGCTTTAAAATTTTCCTTTGTATTTTACATTCCCATTGTAATTGTTCTCCTAAAATACTGGGTCACAGTGATAAAAAAAATTCTTTGCAAGAAAGACAGTTATAAGAGACTGTACAATCTCCATCCTTGGAAATACTCAAATTATGAATAAGGTTATAAGCAACCCGAGCTAACTGTGATCTAAAGCATCAAGCACAGGTTTGGACCAGGTGAGCTCAAGAGGTCCCTTCCAATCTGAATTATCCTACAACATACTCTTCAATTCCATGTATTATTTACAAAATTATTCCCCAAACTGCAGAAAGGCCTACAGCTATTAAAAACTATTTTCCCTTTCAAATAAAGCTTAGCATACAGTTGCCATTTATCCAGGTTTTTTGGCCCTCAAAACTCTACACCAGGTAATCTAAGTCACGAATTAATGTAGCATGATATGAATACAAGTTTGAAACAGTCTGTCCATTTTGAACTCTTCTTGAAATAAAAGGTTAAAGCAAAAGTTAATTTTTTTTTTCTT